TGCTGGAAATATTCCCCAGAGAGAAAACCCAAGTGGATGGTTCAGCTCCTTCCTCCTCCTGCCCAGCTAACGTGGCACAGAGGAGGAGGCACAAGGCCATTTTTCCTGCTTGGCTCTACTGAAAAATATGGTTTGCATGTTTATCCAAGGATCATGTGAGGTAACAGATGTAACAGGAAGACTCCTATTGCAAGTAGAAAAAAATTTAGGTCATTTTCCAACCTTGTAGGTAAGAGCAGGCACTGAGCTGAAAGCAGGATGGGCAGCAGCCTTCCAGCTAAAAGCAGGATGAGCAGCAGCCTTCCTGAAGGATTTTCTGTGGCAAGGAAGAAACTGAGTGAGCCCAGGTTTGTTTACAGTCACATCCCAAAACAGACTTCTCCAAAAAAGCAGCAAATCTGGAGCCTGCACGAGGCAAACAGCACGGGGTGGCCCCTGTGTGACTGCAGTTGGTTTCCTGCAGTGTCCACAGCTTTTCCAGCTGAAGAGCTGTGAATTTCCATCAAACTGGCAAGCCCCAAATTTTACTGTTGTTGGCAGCTGACAAATCCTCCATCAGCTCTGGAATTTCCCTAGTGTTTTACTGGATTTTCACTGACAGAGTCAGATGGGTACGGTCTGTGTGCTTCTGCTGATGCAAATTGTTTTGTACTCACTGCTGTTTGCCCCAGCAAACTCAGACAGCATGTAGGACTTGGCACAGCTGCCACAGGGAGAGCTGGGAAAGGTCTGACATGGCTGGATCCACGGGCACTGATGCACAAGCCTGGAATTAGTTTTAGAATGTTCTACAGACCAACAACAGAAAAACACAATTCAGAGTTTTTGAAAGGGGTAGCTGGAAGGGAGGAAGCTCAGCCTACCAAGACCACAGATAATCAGCTACACAAGGAAGCAGGATCCAACATTTTTGCCTGTTCTTGGGTATTAGATCATGCTGAGTTTCCTACAACAAATGCTGTAGGCACATGAAACCAAAAAGAGGCCAAGATGAGGACAATCACTGATGTCCATTCCCAGCTTTAAGGCTGGACCACTATCCTGGCCCAGTCAATTTACCCAGGGCAGACAAGTCCACCCAGCTGTAAAATGAAACTACAATATTGGCCTCGATTTGGGCTCTGTGGGAGCAGACAAACACTCCCCAAGATAAGCATCACTGTGAGAGCATTCTTCCCTCGACACACCATTAAAAATAAAACAAAAGCTTTAGGTTCCACTTGGGAAAAGTGAAAAAGGAGAAAGAAACTTCGTTTGCCTTTGGATGGCTCTTGTCAAGTCCCAGTATCTCAACCAATCCCAGCAAACATGATCTCAGGCTGTGGAGTGCTCCCAAGCTCAGCCAGCCTGACATAAGCAATGGGAAGAATCCCAGAGCAGGAACAGCACAGAGAGAGGAGTGCCACGTGTCTGCTTGCTCCTTGTGTTCCAAAAACACATTTTTTGACCCCTGACACAACACAGACTAAGATTTCAGAGAAAATCAAAATATCTCATTGCCCAGCAGAGCCACTTTTTTGCAGCAGCACAGACAGATGTGCTCTGATGACACCAAAAACCTCTGAGCCTTCAGGCACCCAGGTGCATCCTCAGCAAGCAAAGCAGCTCGTGCTCACCTCAGGGTCTAATTCCTTTGCCAAAATATTGCACAAGTGGCACTCTGTCTTTGCAAAACGCTTCCTCAGGTGGCCCATCTGACATCAAACAGCAGATGGTTTATTGTCCCTCCAGCAAATAAGGTCATTCTGGGGTTCTAAGTGGGCCATGGCTCGGTTATACAGCTGCATTCACTTTGGAAATGTTTAATGTTTTGCTTAAGATACCTGAGTGCTTTCTCTCTAATTTTGCCTCCTCTCCTCCTCCTGCTTCAACACCTTCATTTGGAGGCATCAGAACCAACATCACAACAAACTTTCCAGAGTTTCAGTCTATTGGGATCCCAAACCATTCACATACTGGAGGCTGAAACAGAGAGCTCCTCTCTCTGCCAAAACAGAGATGGCTCCATCTACCCTAGTGCTGCAGGACTCTCCAGCTTTGTCACCTCAGGCCTTCTGCCAAGGTGTTTAGCATGGCTAAACCCCATTTTAAACCGGTTTTGTTCACTGTGCCTGTGTAAGGGGTGCCTTAAACACCTTTCTGCAGTGTGTCTGTTGTCAGACCTCATGCACTTTGCTGCAGGATACATTCAGAAGCTAAGCAAGATTTTTAAAGTTCTTTATGGCACATGACAGCCCCCATTAGGTGTGGTTCCAGAACCGAATTCTGTGTTTGCCTTCCCGCTGAAGACCTTCCAGACCCTTCAGTGTTATGATTTCCACAACACTCTGCATCACAGTGTGAAACACAGAAAGCTCACAGACAGCAGAAAGCCAAAATAAACAGCAGATTGTCAGGCCTCTGGATGAACAACTGCAGTTCCTTCCACTGAATCAATGTGGCTGGTGGATTTTCTCAAAATAAGGTTCTACCAAGTCTGCAGCTCTCACAGCCACCCCTCTTTGCTAAATTTCATGTCAGTGTTCAGTAGATTTATAGATTTATACAGGAAACCAAAGCACAAGCAAACACAGAACGGCTCAGTGTCACTGTCCTGCTTTGGGACAGATTTTTCCAGCAGGAAACAAACTGGGATTGCTGTGCACAGAACAGGGATATTCCAGAGAGCCAGCACAAACCCACAGAAGAGCAGTGCCGAGTTTGCAGCTGATTTAGCACGGCTCAGGAGAGAATAAAAGGCTGCCCAGCATTGCCAAGTCACATCAGGTGAATCAGAGCCCTCATCCCTCGTGCCACGAGCCTGGCATCTCGCACGCAGCCTCCACTGTCCCTGCTCTTCAGCCAGGGATGAGTAAAAATAAAACACCTCCTCTGCAAAGTGCTGCCAGCAATATTTATATAATAAGAATATTTACATACTAAGAATATTTATATAATAAGAATATTTACATAAATAACCTGCCCAGAGCTCAACACAGTAAGACACAGATAAATCTACCTTGGAGCAAATGAAAGGTAGGGTTGGATGTTCAATCCCGGTGTACCAAGCAATATTAATTTCATTTCCAGCTTTCATAAGCTTCTCAAAGCCAGTCCTTTAACCTGATAGTGCTCAGTTCCAGGTTTGGGGTTTTTTTCCCTAATGTAATTTTTTTGCTCCATTTTAATATATCCTCTTTAATTTCCTTTACAGCTAAGTACTGGTCAGTAAAAAATGGCAGAAATTTCCCTTACACCAGCTGTCACAGGATCTAGTGTGGATTTGAAAACAGAATAGAGCTGCAGCCCACATTCCAAAAAAAACTCCGGTGAACCATGTGAAGAGCATTGTTTGGGAGCAATTGGAGAGATAACTGCACTCCTGATTTAACTCATTTATTGTCCTCAGTGTACAAAACAAGTAGCTGCAGTAACATCATCACACTGAGTGTACTGAAAAGGACACAAAATAGAAAGCCTAATCTCTATTTCTGGTGCAAACTGTTCAGCAGCTTCAGCTGTACAATTGTGAAAACCAGTGGTTCAACTTTAGACAATCTGGCCTCACAGAAAGTGATTTTTTTACACAGAGTGCAAACATGCACAATAGACAATCTTGCACTAGGTAGGACATCTGACTAAAGTGAGTAAGCCCCAAAAAACTGAGCTCCCAACAGGCTCTGAGTTACTCAGCTACCTCTTTCTATTCCTGTTTTATTCTACTTCACTTAATTCCTCTTGATTCTTCATATGTGTACACCAGTTCCCTCTCTGTGGAGTCCTGCTCCTTTTGAAAAGATTTTAGGGGAGGATCAAAGAAAAAGACAATTTTTCCTTACCTTTGTCATTAATTATTTGTGTGTTACTATGATTTCACAGCAGTTTTAGGAGCTGGGGCTGAGTACAGCGAAGCCCAAGATGGGAAGAAGAAACCATGTTATTTCCAAAGCTGCAGAGATGTCTTCCTTTCCCTGCTCACCTGTCCAACAAGCACCTTGCTTTCTTGTTTTGTGAGTGTGGACTCCCCTCCCAGGCTCCAACACCTCAACACACCATGAAACTTCCCAACCACTTTGCTTTTGGGAAGGGGCAGGACACAGCCTTCCCTCAACTTGATGCCCAGCAGGCTAAAGGACATCGAAAGAGCAAGCCAGCATAAATAATGGATACTTGGGAACGAGAATTTCCCATTTAAGACTTCTGAGATAAACAGGAACTTGGATATGCACTTGGAAATGGGGAATGGAGTCAGGAATGGGTCTCCCTGCAGAATGCAACTGGAGAGCAGGAGCTGCCTGACCTGGCAAGGAACTCAGCTTGTGGCCAGGGCTGTGAGGGCTCCTCAGCTCTCCTCTGCCACCAGCCTGTCAGGCAGACTGCCAAGGAGCTGGGCAGGAAGGAAACCAGGGAGGTTTCCAGCAGAAGAAACGTCCCTCTGGAAAACTCCTGACCACTCTAATAATGGGCCTGCTTTCACAGTCAGCCACGGTGCTGGCAGGAGGCAGGGAGACCCACTGCATTCTCTGTTTAGTTACTGGCTTCCTATCCAAATTCCTTTCTGCACCAGACACAGGGCATCAACTGGAGCAATCCTTGAGGAGGACGTTCATAAATCCCTCCAAGCCCCTCCACGGCCAACGTGGCTCTTCCCCAGAACGATGACAATCGTTAATTGGCGCCATTCAGAAGGTAACACTTTCTTTGGTAAGGTCTTTACTGCTTCAGGCAACCACATGTACTTCTGGCAAGGTCTCCAGACAAGCCCTGTTGGCAGCACACAGCGTGTGCCTCGCTCGGAAAGACTGCACGAAGAAACAGCTCACTTTCCAGCTCCAGTTCCAAGGCTTCCCAAACTTGGCCACACCACCTGGCCTCGCTGCAGGAATAACTGATGCCTGACAGGTAGCATCCCACAGAGCTGCCCACACAGTTACCCTACAGAAGGGGAAAAACCTTAAAAAAGGGAAAAGCCCCTTCTCAGCCCAACCCCACGACGACCGAGGCCGGAGTGGTTTACGCACCGCTCGTTGCTCAGGGTCATCCGAGGAGGGTCCAGGTTGGGGTTCTCCATGGACTCCATCTGGGGACAGCGTAGGAAGTAGTAGAGGGTGTGGAGAGCATCAGGGGACCAGGAGATGGGCTGCTGCTGCCGGCTCTGCCGCACGGGGCTCATCCCGGGCCGGATGGTGTTCAAGCACTGCATGTGGTGCATCGCTCGTGACACCAAATCACCTGCACAGGAAGAGGAACACAGCTCTTTTAAAGTGCTCTTTTTGACCTAAACACTCCCCTCTCAGCTAAGAAAAACATCTTCTGTGTGCACACGATTCTCCTCCACAAAGGCCTGTCCCCAGGCTGCCACTCTGCAGGTTGTTGCACGGGAAACTGAACTGACTTTCAAATGACAAGCTGTTACCTGGAAAACATTAAATGAAACTCAGTCCCCACACATTCAGAACAACAGTTTTACACCGAGTTTTCTGGTTTAGTGCTGGTTTTCCCCTCTTTCCACCCACATATACCCGTTTCTTGCCTGCCTACAAAAACTACCGATGTCTTTGCAAAATGCCCTGGGAGCAGCAGCTTTCACAGGGCAAAGCCAGCAGCACCAACACAAATACTTTACTCTCATTTCCCTTATGAGGTTGCTCCCATCTCTTCCAACTGGGTCATGCTGTTCTACCCTCCTGCCCAGGAACTTGAAACAAATTAATGACATTATGTTCAACACAGAAACTCCTTCTTTGAGGGATCTGCTGCTCTCATTCTCACTGTAGCTGCAGGTTTCTCCAGAATAACAAGACCTGACTCTTGTATTAAAAAGCCAATCTTTATCACGCTGCTTGTCACAAACTGTGCCAGAAATTTGCTCCTGAGCCTTGTGAGAAGTTTAATCCAGGAACCTTCTGGGCTTCTCAGTCCTCTTGGTCTTTGACCTCAAGCCAACCTGCCTTTATGCTGGAGCATGGTGGACCTGAGGAGGTCTGAAAGAAGGTGACCTGTGTTACACAGTTTCACTCAGAAAGGATTTTAAGACTGCAGGTTTTTAAAAAGTTCACAAAGCAATGACCTCAAATCTGCTCTTTGTGTAATAACCTTGCTTTATGTACATCCTGGTTACTCTCCCTGTATTCTGGTGCATTACAAAATCTAAAAAACCTTTTAAAAGCTTCAGACATTACATCTTGGAGCAGTGTGATTACAGGGAGCTGAATTATTACTATAGATTACTATACTTAGCTAGGATCTATTTTTTCCTTGGGAGAATCCTCTATAGCTTTATGTTTTACAGTCCCCTAAAACTCTCACAGGAAACATTACTCTATTGTGTCCAAAAGTCACAATACTGGGAAAGGATGGAACTGAAATAGTCTCCCCATCACAAAGCTGGTTCCTGAGAAGGCGCCCTGAGTTTAGCTGTGAATTAGTAACACCTCCCTCTGAAATCCTTAGGAAGTTGTTATTTGTTCATTAATATCTAACAGCAATTCACTCAATTTGCCAACCAAACTCTGGTTGAACCCATGGGCTTCTGCTGTTATCCAGGAGAAGCCCCCACAAAGCTACTCTATGTCTAAACATGATGTTATCAGTGGAGTATTAAAAATCTCACTTTGCAATCTAAAGCTGTGCCACTCGTTTGTTGTACAGTACATTCAGCTTAAGGACCCACTTCAGAATTGAAATAACCTTCTAACAACTCTGCCTTTCCACTCCAGTAGCTCCAGGATCTGCACATTTTACGAGAATATCAAGAATCCTCCAGCGCTGCTGCTAACGCAGAAGTCTGTGCAGTTATAGCAGAAATGCATCTGGAATTCAAATATTCAGCTCAGAATAACGTTCATTCTGCTTTGCACACTCACTCTATTTTTCTGGCAACGTGCAGCAACATTTAAAAGAAAAAAAAAAAAAGTAGGCAACTGTATCAGGAGATCTATTCACTGGATGTACTGACCATGTTGGCCAAGGCAGGGATGGGGGAAGAGAGGGAGAGAGGAAGCTGTATTCAATCTCAGGCCCTTGCTACAAATGTTCTCTTGTGTTCCAGGATAAATAGAGGTGTGTTAAAGGAATTTGAAAACCTCAAATTAAGGCAGGTTGCAAAATAAATGGTGAAACCCACAAACTCCTTGCTGGCCCTGACATTCATTAGCATTCAGATGGTGCAGACTAAGAAAGTGATGCCAGCAGAAACGTTGCAAGGGAAAAGTAGGACCAGGAAAACACAAATCATTTTTGTTTACTTTAAAGGGGCTTTGTGAGCACTCCAGGAATGGAACATTTCATTTGGGTAGCACGAGAAAAAGAAAGAAGGGTTTGAACGAGTTTTCGTTACCCAAGTGCTCTCAGATTTTTTTTTCCTCCACTTTTTGTTTTTTAAGTAACCAAAAAGCTTTTCCTCGAATATCCTGCACCCTTGACATTTCCACTGCAGAAAGACTAACAAAGAGAACCCTCTTTGCCATCTGAGGGAGGTGCTTCACAAATATGCAAGAACTCTTCCAGAGGCACCTGGGCAAGAGCATCCATCTTCAGCTGGCACTAACACCACTACCAAAAGGCCAGAAAAGCCACATCTTCTACGTCTCCAGGTGAATTAAATATAAAGCAGACTAATGAAACAAGCTGATTTTCATAAACAGCACCACGAGACAATTAAATCTTCCCCCACGTCGGCCAAATGCTGCTCGCACTGTCAACAATGGCAGCGCTCCCGCTGACCTCAGAGGAGGGGCTGGCTCTCCTGCTTTGCTGAAAGAAACCTGTGGCTGATTGCAGCCAAAACTTACTCAGTTCAGAGATGCTTCCAACACACGTTGCCAGCAGGGACTGCTCCAGGGTCCGCAGTTCCAGCTGGGCGTACGCGTCGGCCCGGCCGTCGCTGCACACCGAGCCGTCGTTGTAGGGGCTGAAATAGGCAGGGAGGGACAGCACACCTGGGGCAAGAGCAGACAACAGAGCTGTTAGAAGTGAAGCTACAGGTGTGCCAAAGCAGGTCCCTCTAGGAGAACTCAGCACCTTCCTCGGGGGACCTGAGTTCTCCTGAAAAGTTCAAAGAAAATCAAACAGCACCATAAATACCCTTGGAAGGGTTGAAACGGGGGAACCGGGCCCTGGGGAGTGAGGCTGGGTGTTTCTCCAGCCTTTAAAAGCTCCGAACAAATTGCAGCTGAGATAAAGCTACATGAAAAGCTTTGGAGAAGTCTCCACTCTTGTTTACACAACAGCCCTGCTGCACACGCAGCTCGCTGGGGAACAGCTGTATGCAGATTGTGGGATGCAAGGGCCTGATCTGGAGAGATGGGGAATAGCCTCGAGTCCACTTCAGGTAGCTGAAATCTCTGCAACCCTGCAAACAAAACCATGGGCTGTGCCAGCCCTTTGAACCTGCCACTGCAGTTTCAAGTGCTCAGACTGCGGTTTCTACATGTGCAAAGCTCTGGGTAAGCCAAGCGACGCCCACGAGCGTTGAGGTTATATTTTCATCTCTAGAAATGACCCCTGTGTGAGAGAGAGAGATTAGAAGATAATTATATTGCACACATGCATTTACCACACACACACTCCCTCCATCCCCTCTTCTGACACGCATTACTATGCAGTCATTGATGGATTTGTAGTCAGTTTTGTTGGTTGTTGTTGGGACCCCATCCTACTTTGTGCATACTCCTACAGCTCATGCAGACAGTCTCTAACAGGGGCACTCATTCACCTTCCCCAAGTCACCTTTCTCACCATTATCTTTGGCTGACCATGGCAGATCTGCAGCCACAATGCAAGTCAGTGCAACATAAAGATCAAAAAAGAAAATTTCCTTCCCTGCTTTCCTCCCAGATATCCCTTAGTTGAATAGTTTTTCTTCCAATTAGCCAGCTGAATTTCGTTGCCTTTTGGGCACAAGACTGTTCAGTGTGGCATAGGGAAGGGGGAATGTGACCTCTGGAGCTGGGTATGTGGATGGGAGCTGGGGTGGGACAGTGACCCTGGGGTGGATCAGATGAAGCCCAGTGTGACACTGCATCCACAGGGTGTGTGGACTCCTAAAATCTGCCTGCAGTCACTCAGCCAGTATTCCTGTGCCCTTGCTACCGCCACACTCTCAGCTGTGTGTGACTGCTACCCCATTTTTAATTACAGATCCATCCTGCAATTCCAGCAACACCCCTGGCCCAACTTTTCCCTGATTTCAGAGAAGGATGCTAACAGCCACGACTGCCTGTGCTCTTACCCTGCTGCATCCTGTATTTTCGCTCTTTAACTTTGATCCATGCACAGCCACACCAATCCATTCCAGCTTGGACCCACATTTCCTTCCACCCTTCACCTCCCGACCCCAGCTCGGTCTCAGATGTGGAGATGCTTTGCTCCTGTGGCAGTGACCTCCTGTCTCACTGGGGCTGTGTATTCTTGTCCAACAAAACCCCGCCAGAGGAACGGCAGCACATTGTGCGAGACCTTTTGTTTCTTTGTCTTGATGTTTTCTTTTGAGATTTTCTGCTGCATTGATCTCTCCTACCCTTTTCACATCCTCTTCGCATCCTGCTCGGTGGTGAAGCCAAGGGCTGCATCAAAAACTTCCTGGACATTATGAGAATAAGGGAATGATTTATCCTGCTGTGCTTCTTCACTGTACATCACTGTTAGTTAATGGAGAACGCTCTGCCAATGCCCTCTTAACCTGAATAATTAGGAAGCTGAGGCTTTAAGAGCTACCAGAAGTGATGCATGCAAACGAGAAGAGCTCGCTTTAAATACACTACACAGAGCCTAAGCCACTTCCTTTTCCATGCCAAAGCTATGAAAGGATGTTTGAAAGGCATATGGATTGAATTTATGGCAGAGGGAGAATGAAAATAGACTGATTTGTCAAAACTTTCAAATAGAGGCACATAATTCTACAGAGGAGAAAACAGAAACTGGCAGTTCCATTAGTGGGGGAAAAATGGGGCACATTTGCTCTGCCAGCCAGTTCCAGTCAGTTCTGTTTTCTAACAAGGAATTAAAAATAAAGATTTGCAGAGGGATTGAAGTTGGCTCCCAGACACCACAACATTTTCTCAGTTTTTCAGTTAACACTTTGCCAGGTGGTGTGAGGAAACAGGGAGGGTTTATTTACCTTTGGAAAAACGACTCACACAAGATGGTCGTGGATGAGATTTGTGTTGTTATCTGCCTTGCTACAGCTGAGGAGCATCCTCTGTGTACCAGAGAGAAATGAGGAAGTTACCAAGACTTGGGCCACGTGCCAAAGCCCGATGGTGCCACCGGGAATTTCCCCTGGGATCGGCTGGGGGATGATCAGGCCCTCATGACACAAGGTTTCAAAGGCTCCCCATGTCTGACAGGTCTCGATAGGTATGAGCAGTCCTGGGAACGAGGACACACCTCCCAAAACTGATTTTGAGACAGAGAGAACTCTGACTAAACTCTGCTTGTGGGGTAGAAACATACCCCACAATTATTGTATCTTGCAGCACCCTGATCAGGATTTCCTCTCTGAATACACTTCCAGTGGAGCTGAAAAAGCATCATCTTTGCTCTTCAGATCAGAAATTCAGGCACAAAGACATTTGCAGACGAGCTTTGTCCACCGGTATTATAATTAGGAGCAAGACTCAATCATTTATATCAAATAAAAACAGTTGTTTGATAGCAGACAACTACCTTGTGATGACTATTTACACCCCAAACAGTGGTTCCTGCTCTGCTGCTCTCCTGCCTCCCAAATCAAGGAACTTGCAGTCAAAAGGTGTTACAATGGTATAAACCACAGGGGGAGTTTCTGTCTGGCATTCACATTCCTGCATTTTTGAATTTATGGAACCACTGCTTTAATCACGACTGGCTAAATAAGCAAAACTGGAATTGAAATAAATCAATCCATGTCAAAACACTCTCTGTTTGAAATCACCTTCAAACTGCCCACTTGTTTCCTGACTTGCAAAAATATGTTTTCCCCATAAAACAACAATGTGAAATAGCACATAATCACACTGCAGGAACGAACTGCTCTTACAGTATTTACTCTGTGTTGTGTTTCCTACACATCCCTGGCTGTATCCTGGAATTCTGGTCACTTTTTTTTCCAGTTAACTAAGATTTTAAGCATAGGATCTAAGCCCAGGTGAAGTTAGTGAGTTAGTTAATCTATTAATTTGAGCATGGCTTAGCTCAAACCTCAGCAGGAGGAGCTGAGAATTCACCTCTCTAGAATGGTGTGATTCTAGATTAACAATTTGTTTCTCATATTTCCACAGCCTTTGAAACAGCAGCTGGAAATAAAGGCATATTTATTCTGCCTCAGTTAAATATGAAACCTGCTCGTGAGCACTTGCTGCCAACCATCTTAAAAGGCAGTCACGACTGGGTGAAATTCCAGCTAAGCAGTTCCTTAAATTCAAATTATTCTGCTCGCCTAAAGAGTTTGAAATTGTTGTCTGTAATTTGATGCTTTTTAATAGTAACTGAAAATGTTTCCAGTCTGAGCAAGATCCAGGGAAAAGTCTGTTCACACTCTTGGACATCTTTCTGCTTCAGGAGGTGCAGCAGTTCTGGGGAGAGCTCTGCTGTAACTCCCACAAGCAGGGCTGGGCAGAACTCCTGGGTGGTTTCCAGGTGTGCTGGAGCTCCTCTGCTCTGCAGACAGGCTGGGAGAGCTGGGAGTGTTCAGCCTGGAGGAGAGAAGGCTCTGGGAAGACCTTGGAGCCCCTTTCAGTGCCTAAAGGGGCACCAGGAGAGCTGGAGAGGGACTTTGGACAGGGGCCTGGAGCGACAGGACAAGGGGGAATGGCCTTAAGTCGAAGGAGGCCAGGTTTGGATTGGATATGAGGAAGAGATTCTTCCCTGGGAGGGTGGGGAAGCCCTGGCACAGGTTGCCCAGGGAGGCTGTGGATTCCCAGTCCCTGGAAGCATCCAGGACCAGGCTGGATGGGCTCTGAGTAACCTGGTCTAGTGGAAGGTGTCCCTGCCCACGGAAGGGGGTTTGGAACTGGATGATCTCTGAAGTCCCTTCCAGCCCAAACCATTCCATAATTCTGTGATTCCCCAAGCTGGTTCTGCTCTTTTGGTGTCACAGTGAAATAAATGCAGAATTTTACCTGAATTTTATTTTCAGATTCGAATGTCTAAAAACCTTATTTCAAATAACTTTCCAACTACCCATTGTATCTTCACACTTCCCGTTGTTTGCACGTTACGTTTGTGACAAAAGGACTCTCCATGATTTTTACCTTGCTGGAATGATTTTCTCTGGCCTTTCTCTCATCTGAATCCTTGATGTTGGCAGACAACCTCCCAGTGATTAACCCATCAGCCATTTGATGACTTTCAAACACTTCTCTGATGTCCAGAGGTTAAGATGAGGCCACTCACAAGTGGCAAAGGGCCAAGGAGACTTGGCTGGAAAGCACTTGAATTCTGCTGTCTGGGATTCCTCATGGAAATTGCCCACACTACTAACTCCCTTATTTCAGAAATGCACTGGCTGTATTCAGGACAGACTAGGCAAAAGATCAGGAATATAATTAGGATAGGGGTTTACACCATAAATTACTGACATAGAAAAACTTTTTTTTTTTTTTTAAATATACCAAGTAAAGTCTATAAAGAGATAACACAATGTGTATTGATTTCTCCCTTTGGCCAGAATAAAAACAGGTTCTTTGGGCAAGGATTCCCTGTGTGTTGTGTTTTCATGGTAGTTACATCAGGGGTGACTGTTACTGAACACTTCCATAATACAAATTACAACAGCAGGAACAGAAGTACCTATTTGGCCAAACGAACCAGAAAGCCTTTGGAAAATTCAGGATCACCTTCCTACGTGATAAATTGTTTCTGAAAGCCCCATATGTGAACTGAGCACTGCTCTGAGTATGCTTGAAAAAGGTATTAGGGAACTGAGTAAGAAAAATTGGTCTCCAGCATTATTGGTGTG